CATAACAGGAGAACCCATCACTCATTCTCCCATCACATAGGTGAACTAGTCACTCATGAACACATCACACAGCATGCCTTTTCACTGGGGGACCCAACACAGAGGAAGCACATTCACTGTTGCACACATTACAGATGAAGACTAGTCACTGGGAAACCCACAACAGAGAAGGCAAAGTCACTGAGACACCAATCAAAGAGGAGGGCTAGTCAGTGATGCACATGTGATAAAAGAAGAGTAGACACAGAGATACCCATTTGTAGGAGGTCCAGTCACCAGAGCACTCAACACAGAGGAAGGTTTATTGCTTAAGCATACATCAGAGTGGAGACCCTGTTGGGAGCCGGCCACGGAGTCACACTGAGCGTTAGGGATCAGGGAGGGCCGTGGACCCCGAGATGGCTAGGACGTGTTTGGGAGCCATAGACCCCATTTTCCTCCCCCTTTTGTCATGCAGCACAAAAACAACCTAAAGGAACTCTGCTGGCCTAACCTGAGGCTCTGTGACTGTGACAGGCATAGCTCACTCTAGAAACCCATTGTTCCTGTTTCCCATAAACTGTGGTTTCGGCTTAGGTATTAGATATAATTCAAATTCAGGTCACATTTGGGAGCCTTTTATACAGTACAAGCTTCTTTATAAGATTTAAAAGAATATTTGTAGAATTAGTATATACTTATGGAGAGCTGTTTTCAGCTTTTCAATGGTATAGATGATTATCAAGAGTTATCAGAAATGGCCCAGCACAGAGTTTGGGCTGGGCCACATTCCTGAGAGCCCAGCATGTACTTTGGACTGGGCTGCATTCTTTTAGGCTGGCTTTAGCTACAGTTAGTGTAAGGTCTTTTTTCTACCTATTATAGAAATTGAATTTATTTTATTCATAGAAGGTATTGTAGAATAGGTCATGCTACGTCAAGGAATCATGTTAGTTCAAGCATAATCAATCATGATATTTTTAGGTTTTATAAGAATATAGTTAACTTTAGAAATTTCATTATCTCCATTTTCTACTATCGTGGTTTTGGCCTTAGTACATTTACAGTTTATATTTGGGTTTTAGAAGCTTTGCTGCTGCTAATCAGCTTTATATATTAAAATTAGGAATTGGAAACTTTCATAGAAATTAGGATAGATATATAGGACTTTAGAATAGCCATTTTGTTAAGAGATTGTATTCTATTGTTCCAAAAGGTGACCCACCATGAACCTTGGACTGGGCCACATCCTGTAGAGCCCAGCGTGATCTTTGGACTGGGCCACATTCTTTAGGAATTGGCTTAAGCTATAACTAAGAGCTTCCGTAGCATTGTGTAAGTAGTATTAGCATAGAATAGAAAGGTAATAAAGTTTAAGTTAGTCATCATAGGTTTTGTGTGAGCTCTAGAAGTTATTGATTATCAGAACATCATTAGGCTAGTAAGGATTGTTGCACTGCCTTTGAAGAGCATTAACTGGCAAAGGGAACAATAAGACAATCTTGGGGTTTGTCCCTCCTCACACCTAAGCATCTGGTGGGTGGGGGATGCCTCTCCTGCACCTGGCTTTGTGTTCACGTGAAAGACTTGTGAAACTGCCTGTGTAAAATTTGGGGATAAATACCTGCTGTAACTTTCAATAAACGGCTTCTGCTCATTTCACTGAACAGTTGTCCACTTCCTTTCTTTCGCCTTCTCTTTCTTTCTTTTAATATCTGTCCCTACAGATTCGCTGACGCCACCACATCTTCCAAGGGACTCCCCAAAACTTGCAGGGGCTGACCCCCTGCAATTAGGAATGTGCTCCAGCCATACACTGGATGTCATGAAAGCCTTCTTGCTTTGAGCAGGACCTGGAGCAGGAAAGGGATCTGCAGGAAGTCAAGGTGGTAGTATGAGCTGCCCTGATGCTTGGGCCATATGATTGGTAAACTCTATGATGTTAATGTAGTGAGAGGAAAAGATGCAGTATGGTGTGTGTGTGTTTAAGAGCATCACAATCCAGACCTCTGGCGTTCTGGAGTAAGACCATACCACCTGCAAAAGAGACCCATATGCCTTTTAACAAAGAGTGCCTGGTGTGTTACTGGGCCCCATAGAGACAGATTTCTTGACTACAGGACACCAAGTAACAATGTGTCTGGAACAGTCCATTATGCGCTGGGTTCTGTCAGACGCTTAGAGTCCTAAAGTCAGGCAGGTCTGGCAGCAGTTTGTCATAAAATTGAAATTGTGCATCTGGGTTCAAGCCTAAACAAGACCAGATGTCATAAGGTAGCTGCACAAGCAGGTGGCGCAAACCCCCATGTCACCCACCATGGCTGCAGCCACTCCTCTTCCTTAGATCATGCCGGGTACCGTATGGGTCTCATGGGACCAGCCAAAGGGGGATAAAAAGCCCGAGCATATTTAATGGGTCAGAGTGCTCAGTGTGGCAAGCTAAAAATGGGGTGTGGTTTTATTACACTCAGGGTGGGAGGAGGTTTGAGAAACTGGTAAGAGAATGTCATCTCACTCAGAGTGGTACACCTTATGCAAAGAGACCACTGGCTTGAGATGAAAATACATACATACTCATGGGTGGAGGCAAATAGTCTGATGCGCTGGTGAAGGGTCTGGAAGGAAAAGAACTGAAAAATTGCAGGCAAAGATGTTTGGTTAGAGAAATGTGTGTGGGCGTGTGGGAATGGACACAATGTGTGAAGATTTTGACTCATTAACAGATACCAGAAAGAGCCCTACACAGAAAAGGCAACAGATTACCAAGTAGACAAAATGACTAGGCCAGTTGACATTAGCTAGTCTTTGAATTGATGTGATAGACACATGAACAGAAGGGCCACAATGCAACGACAGAAGCTATGCATGGACTCTATCTCATGTGTCAGCTACTGATGCCTCTTCAAGCCTCATCTGCCAGCAACATACACCATCACCAGACTACCAGACTACCATAGACCAGACTACCAACAGAACAGCTTCTTTAAGGGGATGATTTTCTTTTCTTTTTTTTTTTTTTTTTTTGGTTGGAGTCTCACTCTGTCACCCAGACTGGAGTGCAGTGGCCGCTTCCGGCCACCGCAGCCTCGGCTGCTGGGCTCCGGCAATCCTTCCGCTTCAGCCTTCCAAGTAGCCGGAATTACAGGCATGCGCTACCACGCCCGGCTGATTTTTTGATTTATTATAGAGATGAGGTCTCGCTGCCCAGGCGGGTCTCGAACCCGCGGGCTCAGGCAATCCACTCACCTCAGCCTCCCAAAGGCGCGGGATTACAGGCCAAGCCACCGAGCCGGGCTAAGGGGATGATTTTCAATCAGTGACTTCTTTGTGATGAAGGATCAATGTGCTTCCGAGATATGTGACAACACATACAACATTTTCTTGAAAACTCCCAGGAATTTTAGAACCTTCAATGTCTGATTTTAGTGCCCAAGTACTCTTAATGGTGGGTCATTTTCATGCCGTATGGCTCATGCCTATTAAAATGAGTGAGTATAGACTAACACATTGTACACATTCATGTAAAGGGAGGGAAAAAAACCATAATATTAAATTGCCTAACTCAGGAGAGGAAAACTACAAACAAACTGTGGTATCTTTACCAATCATAGCTGGGACATTCAATCAATCATCGGTATGCAAAATGTTGCTGATGGCTGATGCCTGTAATCCCAGAACTTTGGGAGGCAGAGGTTGAAGGATTGCTTGAGCCCAGGAATTCGAGACCAGCCTAGGCAACATAGCGAGACCTCGTCTTCACAAAAAAAATCACAAAATTAGCTGGGCATGGTAGCATGCACCTGTGGTCCCAGTTACTCAGGAGACTGAGGCAGAAGAATTTTCTGAGCCCAGGAGGTTGAGGCTGCTGTGAGCTGTGATTGTACCACTGCACTCCAACCTGGGTAACAGATTGAGACTCCAACTCAAAAACAAAAACAGAAAAATATGAATTGTGTATGCAAAATGTATTGGCCCCATATTAGGCATATAATATTACGTTTCATAAAGGTTAGTTGAATAATTATCAGTAAGACTATTGACCTGGATAAATGCTTTTATGGATATTGGAATTTGGAAATGAATTTTGTAACTTCAATTTTTCTTAACGTCAACATATGGATATCAAGCACTGCACAGAATTAATGATGTCCTTAAGAGCTGATGGCATGTATAAGGGTATAATTGTCCTTGAGCTTAACATGCGAAGTCTTCTCTAATTCGTGTATTTTCTATTATATTCCTTGTAACCTGCTCTGGTTTCTTAAAGATGTCTGTGGACATTGGAGTGCTACAGTCAAGGTTGAAAGGAATGAAAACTGACCTAAATTAAAGAGGATTTACTAAGAAGATATCTAGTGTTTTCATGGTAATTATGACTCTCTAAACTTATGGGAAGTTGAGATAGCACCTGGAAAACCATCAGTTGTAGGGCTGCAGGTGTGTGCTAGCTTGTGTGTGTGTGTGTGTGTGTGTGTGTAACATGATATCTTTCTTTTTTCTCTGTTCCATTCTCTTGCTTGGTATGAATGTAACATAAAATGATTGTTCTAGCCCTCATTAAACTTTTTACTTCTAGTGCCAAATATCATCTATAAATCTCTCTGGTTTTTAGTTCAAATTGTCAAGAATGAGAATATAAAATCTCCAAACAAGCAATAAACTGTTGTTTTCTGAATCACTCTTGGTCAGAGAAAGAGAGAGAACTGAGACATTAGAGGCCTATGGAGTAAACCTAACTTTCCAGGCCCACCTGTTAAAAATTTGCTTTGAGTGTGGCAGGTCCTGGGGAAGGGAAGTAACATCTACTTGGGTCCTAAATTAGTTCTATCTAGTCCTGCTAGATATTCTACCATGTTTCTATTTTCATCCTGATTTATTTACATTTAAGTGAGATTTTTTTTTTTTTTTTTGGCTATAGATTTTTTTTTCTTGCATGAAAAATTGCAAGGATTAAAGTTCCTTAATTTCCCCCCTGACTTTTCTATTTGCATTCTCTACCCAAAATTGTTTTAAAAACAGGACCCAAAACTTCAGGGAACACCAACATACACATCCATATGAAACTATTTTCCTTTGAAATTAACTCAGAATGGTTGATAGGCTCGAAGGAACATGGAAATCCATTTCTTGTGAAAATTTCGAGGAATATATGAAAGAACTGGGTGAGTTATGTTTACTTGCATCTCGAATTCAGTAAAAATGGGAGTTTTGGTAGCAGAGAACTTGCTCTATATGGAATAATATTAATCTCGGGCCCCTTAATTTTTCACATAGAAATTAATATCGATTCAGCAACCAAGATACAGATTTGTACCAAACTAGGTTGGGATTGACATAGTCTCTCATATAATTTACCATGGATTTGCATAAAGAAAACATGTATGTACCATATACTGAACAGCAAATGATTTTAAGAAATGATTTCAAACAAAAAGACACATTTTAAAATGATTATTTTACAAACACTTACTGTAGTCTTTAGGGAATCTTCAGAATAGATCTTGTTTTCCAGTTTCTAGACTGCTGGACTCCCCAAGTGTGTGTCTGCAGCTCTCCAATCTTTGTCCCCATTTGCACACTGTCCTATCTTGTCCTGCAGTCTAATTTCCCTCTTCCTTTCCCTTCTAAGGAAATTTTTGATTGTATTTAGGTTTTACTCTGATAATCCAAGATCATCTTTCCATCTCAAGATCCTTGAATTAACCACATCTGTAAAGTCCCCTTTGGCATATAAGGTAACATTCACAGGGTCCAGGGATTGGGATATGAATATCTTTGGAGACCATTATCCAATCGGTCACATCTTGTGATTATATTTCATGACATGAATTCTATGAATCATATTATAGTATTTCTTCAATATATTTCTTAAAAATTTAACTTAGGGTACTGCTGTGTATGTAATGCTATTTCTGTTGAAAATACTTCTATATTTGCTGCACAAGGTTGTGTGTACAAGGATGTTTACTGTAGAATTGTTTGAAACAGTAAGAATGGAACAAACAAATTGTTCATCAATAAGGAGACAGATAATATAAATTTTAGTGTTTACATAGTGTGGAATATTATGTAGCTATGAAAAATATCTATAGGTACTGACATGGAAAATCTCTAAGACATATACAGATAAGGAGAAAAAGCAAGTTGAATAACAATAAATATAATATGTATATTTTTTAAAATCCTATATATAGTGGTGGTGATTGTACCACATTGCAACGTACTTGATGCCACTGAATTGTACACTTAAAATGGCAAATTTATGTTATGTATATTTACCACAATAAAAAATACATAACAGAAAACCCTATATATGTGTACATATAAGAATGTAAGTGAAGAGCTAAAGATCTGGACGTATCCATGCCAAAGTATTTTGTTTGTATGTGAATGGATATAATTTTAAAATAGAGAAACAAGTAGTAGCTTCAATCAGATTTTCAACAAGGTACATAAATCAACAAGATTAATAACTACTGGACCAGAGAAAGGACAATCACTAAACAAAAACTAAAGGCCTTTTTTCTGTAAAAAAATGAACTCTTTCTTCTACAAAACAATAGCCTATTTTAATACATAGTGGTGGAGCTCCTAACTTAAGATATGTGAATTCAGCCGGGCTCGGTGGCTCAGCCTGTAATCCCGCGCCTTGGGAGCCTGAGCCCGCGGGTTCGAGACCCTCCTGGGCAGTGAGACCTCATCTCTACAATAAATAAAAAATCAGCTGGGCATGGCAGCACATGCCTGTAATTCCGGCTACTTGGAAGGCTGAGACGGAAGGATCGCTGGAGCCCAGCGGGTGGAGGCTGCGGTGGCCGGGAGCGGCCACTGCACTCCAGTCTGGGCGACAGAGTGAGACTCCAACTCAAAAAGAAAAAAGATATGTGAATTCATGCGACAATAAATCTATTCAACTCACAAACCTGCTAATTAGCAACAACTTACACAGATAACAAAACTTCTTGGAGCCAATAACAGATTTGTATCCTTTTATCTGGTTTCCAGGAATAGGAAGAGCCAGTAGGAAACTGGGCTGTCTGGCAAAACCCACTGTGACCATCAGTACTAATGGAGATGTAATTATGATAAAAACCAAAAGCATCTTTAAAAAGAATGAGATCTCCTTTAAATTGGGAAAAGAGTTTGAGGAAACCACAACAGGTGACCGTAAAACCCAGGTGAGACCTACAACAGGTATTTCAGATAAATTTCATAGGAATATTAGTCGGAAATTATCCTAAGTATGTAAGCAATTATAGCAAACATATCTATGATCTTTATGATACATGTTTGGTTAAAACCTAAGTGTGAAGATGTCACGTGTTAACATTCAAATCTCCTGGATTTGAATGTTAAATTCAGGAGAAAAATACCTACCACTCTCTCCTATCCCCAGAGGCTCTGATGTCTACGGTACACATCTGAACATTATATATTTTTTCTTTTTTATTTGAGTCTCACTCTGTCATCCAGACTAGAGTGGAGTGGCACGATCATAACTCACTGTAGCCTCAACCTCCTGGACTCAGGTGATCCTCCCACCTCAGCCTCCTGAGTAGCTAACATTACAGATGCACACCATCACGCTTGGCTAGTGTTTTGGTTTTTTTGTAAAGACAAGGTCTCGCTATATCACCTAGACCTGTCTTGAACTCCTGGGCTCAAACAATCATCCCTCCTTGTCCTCCCAAAGTGCTGGAATTACAGGCATGAGCCTCCGTACCCAGCCAAATATTGTATTTTTAACAAGTCTTATGCAGATGTTTAGCAGACCACACTTTGAGAGTCAGTTCCCTGGATTACTATTTAGAGCTCTTTTTTTTTTTTTTTGAGTTCAGTCTCACTCTGTCGCCCAGACTGGAGTGCAGTGGACGCTCCCAGCCACCGCAGCCTCGACCTGCTGGGCTCCAGCGATCCTTCCACCTCAGCCTTCCAAGTAGCCGAAATTACAGGCATGTGCTACCATGCCCGGCTGATTTTTTGATTTATCGTAGAGATAAGGTCTCGTTGCCCAGGCGGGTGTCGAACCCACGGACTCAGGCAATTCACTCACCTCAGCCTCCCAAAGGCGTGGGATTACAGGCTGAGCCACTGAGAACTCTCAGAAACAAAAGTTCTCCCTTTCCACTTTGTAGCAGTTTTCCACATGTAGAATTACAATGGATAAAACTTGTATTAGCTGATATAGGTGAAGTTATGCCACCATAACAAATGAATCACAAGCTCTCAGTAGCTTAACACAATGGGGATTTATGTCTGACTCATAGTATATATGCAATGTTGGAGTGGTCCTGGGGAAGTTTGTGTGTGTGTGGAGAAGGGTATCTTTCCCTCTTAATTGCTCAGGGGTCCAGGCCAAAGATGGTAGTTTTAAAACTACCTTGTAGCTGCCCCATTTGGAACAAGATACAGAAAGAGACTCTGGGCTTATTACCTCAGCCTGAAAGTGACACACATAGTTTTCATTCAGATCTCATGGCTCCAACTGGAATACATCATTTATTTACACAACATAGTTTACTTATATGTTTATTGTTTATTGTCTGTTTCTGTACACCAGGCAGTAAGCACCTCAAAAACAGGATTTTCTGTCTGTTTCACAGAACCCAGTACTTGGTCATGATAGTTGTTTGATAAGTATTTGTTGTTGAATGGATGAACCCAATAGAGAATTGTTCACCTATATGGATGTAATATCCTGATAAAAGGAACTGTCATTCCACTTTAATAGACAATTACTAAATAAATATGAAACTTTAAATTTTTATATCACATTAAATGGAAGAAAAATTTTGACCTAAAATGTTTAATGTAGATGCCTGTGCTAAATGTTAGAAAGTCTATTAGGATTAAAAAAACTGAAAAATATTATTGGGGTAAGAAGAGGTAAGAGCACTTCTCTTTAAAAAGCTAATTCAGAGCTGGGCTCGGTGGCTCAGCCTGTAATTCCACGCCTTTGGGAGGCTGAGGTGAGTGGATTGTCTGAGCCCGCGGGTTCGAGACCCGCC